GTATTTATTTGTTTTAATTTGATGTAAACTGCCCAGAGTCCCCCACTGTGGGGAGATGGGCGGGGATAAGTCTACTAAATAAATAAATAAATAATAAATAAATAAATGATTGCAACTTCTGACTTCCTGCTGGCTTCCTCATTGACTTTGCTTGTGGGAAGCCAGCAGGGAATGTTGGAAATCACCCAGATTGTGATCATGCGACCACATGGACTCTGCGATGCCGGAACTCCGAGGACCCATTGTAAGTCCCCCTACTTCAGTGCTGTCATAACTTTGAATGTCACTGAACAAACGCTCGTAACCTGAGGACTACCTGTACAGGACCTTTCCAACTGCAGGCCTTTATTTACAGTCTCTATCAAGGGCTCATTATTTGCAATCTGTTTCAGAAAGTCAGTTTGCAAAGGCCTATAGGCTTTGCGAACTTTAGTTAACCCTAGACATTTAAGAAGATATTTCAACTCTCTATGGTTGAAGAAGTAATTTCCATCCTCTCTTTCTACCTGGATACCACGGCAATAGGAGATGCTCCCCTCTGTTTCCTTGCTGAGGTTCCTTACAATCTCTGGGCTATCCTTATCTTGGTAACAGATTAGTAAACTATCTACAGAGGTGAGTAGGTCTGCCTGTCATTTCTGAATCTGGAATGAAGACAAGGATCAGCTTTATCTTGCATGAAGCCTTGCTTGACAAGCATCTGGTTGAGCTTCTCATTCCAGGCTCCAGCTGCTTGCTTCAGGCCCTAGATGCTCTTTTGAAGTTTGTGTACTAGATCTTTCTATCCTAGTCCCTCAAATCTGGGTGTCTGGAGAATGTATGTCTTCCATGATCTCTTCCATGCAGGAATACACTCTATATCAAATGAGATCTCATAACTATGACAGAAAGGAGCTCTGTTTACAGGAAATACATTTTAGGAATAAGCAAGGCCTAGCACTTAGCTAATTCCATCCTGCTAGAAAGAGGGTCTAAGAAAATATGCTTGATATATGTGTGCCTGGGAAGAAAGGCAGAAGAAAGTGAGTTCAGATTAGTAGATAAAGAGCAGGCAGAGTTATAGATAGAGGATACTGAGTAAATCCTTCATTCTCTATCTATACCCACTATCCCTTGAGGTGCTGAAGAGTCCATGCCATTGGATTTACACATCTAACAAGGACTGGGCAGGATATGTGATATTCAGTTAATCAATGGTGGGGCAGAAAATAGCTTTCTACAGTTTAGTGAAGATAGTCATTGCATATATGGGCTTGTCTTGTGCTTTATAACGGGGAAAGGCTATGGAGATAGACCCTTCATATCTGCAAGGAGAGCTATACAGGCAGTGCAATATTTGGGACATGGGTATCCATGGCAACTTGCTGCTTTTGTCAGAATGATGATAGCAGGGTTGCACTGCCATGCTGCACACTCTCTGCTCCTTTTGTACGTGCATCTGATGTCACATAGAACATGCATAGGGACCAGGCTTGTATCACAACACGCCCAACTGATTTGAGAGGAGAATTGTAGAGAGAATTATTGGGGCTAAGCTTGATACAGGTATGAAATATTCTTTTTCTTTTTCCTACCTCCCATTATGCCCATGATGAAAATTAAAAATGGAACATTTTGTAATAAGAAATATTATTTTATAGTTATTGAATTTAGACCTGCCTAGGCATTTTACTGAATATAAATGAAAGGACACAAGATTTTGATTAAAGCAGTTTTTCTCATCTCATAGTTGAACTGTTTCTAAGATTCTAGAAGAACTATGGCAATCTCAGTTGAGACTTAAAAAAAAAAAAAGGATTTTCCTGAAGTGAAGCCCCAATACTTTATCAGCTGAAAATATCTTCATGGATTATGGAGCAGTTTGTTCTGGCCTAAGGATATACATGTTTCTGAGTGGTATGCTGGGGACTTTTCTCTAAAAAAAAAAAAAAAATGCATGGAACCCCCACAAAACCCTGAATTGTACTCTAATGCATTAAATATATCAAATATAATAGTGCCTTTAATAATTTTCCTGTTCTGTTATACATTACAATTTCCCTTATATAAACTGAAACCCAGTGTATGCATATAATCTGTATATTTAAAATGGCCAGTTGGAATCCATTTCTCATATTTTAATAATTTTCTTCTTCTGCCATATTATAGATGACAGTTTCCCATTTACACTGAATCCCAAGCACACATTCAAAATGTACAGTTTAAATATATTTCCCTCATGTATTTAGTGAAGGCCTTCTTCTGCACATTAAAACCCAAAAAACAGTGGCAACTTTTGGTGTGGTTTTGGGACCAAAGAATGTACAGTTTAAATATATTTCCCTCATGTATTTAGTGAAGGCCTTCTTCTGCACATTAAAACCCAAAAAACAGTGGCAACTTTTGGTGTGGTTTTGGGACCAAAGAATTTGGAGTGTCACACATAGTCCTGAGTCTATAGCAGTGTTTCTCAACCATGGCAACTTGAAGATGTGTGGACTTCAACTCCCA